GTCCACACCCGGGCAAGTTGCCCGAGCAACCAAGCATCAGATAACCATTATTTTTTCTAAACTAACAGCTCAGTATTCAGGTTTAATTGCAGTGCTAGCACTTTGCAATAAATGAGTGAGTTTGGGGGTCCACTTGGTCTCTGAGTGGATTGTCATCGCTGTTTCAGGGCATCCTTTCATCCATTCAGCATCTGCCTTATGTGTACTGAATCCCCAGGGTGCTATCAGACCAGGGCCTGTGTGACTGCTCTGTATCAGTAAATGGCTTTTCTTGGTGACACAAAATCTCATCCTTTCTAGAATAACTGCCACAGAGGCTTCGGGGAGGCTTTCACCCACCTGTGTGGCTCCTTCACCCCATTGTCAACACTGTGTGTGTCCCTCCTGCCACAAATGAGTGTGATCTCAGCAGTGCTCTTCCTTCAGATAAATTTTCAAATTTAGTATTTTGATTGAGTGTAAATCCCTCTCTGCTCAATTTTTTAAATGCTGCTGATGAAAATATGTATATGTGTGCATTCCATAAAATCTCTTTAAATAGTGAAAGATTATTTCTAATGCATATGAGTGTACTTCTGTCACTTCAAGTTTTTTTTTGTTTTTTTTTTAATTAGTTTTATTGAGAAACAAATAGCAAGTGAGAGTTTCAAAACAGGTTAATAGGACAGTTACAGTAATTAATACATTGCATATGGTTGTCTTTATAGTAGGTATTCATAGTACAAGATGCAGTCTTGATATGCTGTCCAAACATTATTAGTACAAATCCTTCTCATTGAATTAAAGTGTATATATCCTAACTACTTTTTTCTTCCATAATTCTATTGATAAACAAATAGTGATGAGACAGTTTCAAACCAAGTTAGTAGGACAGTTTCAATAATTAACACATTGCATACATTCTTCCTAGTGATTATTTGCTGTACAAGATGCAGACATGATATCCTATCTACAAACTCTATTAAAATAAATCCCTCTTTTCATGAAGAGAATGTAACTATATATCTGTACCAACCATTTTGAATACATAGACACAAAATAGACTTTCATCTGTATCCCCTTTTATGTTTAGTTCCGTTATTTGAATATTATAGGTGTGTTAACTCAGCAAAATATTCTAAAAGAGTTCAGTAGTCCATAATAGTATTGGGTCTTCCGCTTCACTGGCAATGTCAGAAATTGT